ATGCCGGTACACGAGCAAGTGAGAGCCCAAACACGGGTGCATCAGTCACGACACGCCGCCGAAGATATCTGACCTCTTGTGACCTTCCAAGCCTCCAAAACGACAGCCACTTCAACCAATGAGGAAGGACGACCTCTAGCGCATCCCCAACGGTTAGCAACAACAGACAGTAAAATATACAAAATCCGGTGATACATCTGCCCGCCATAAATATGTACTTCTAGCAGTTTGTTGTCGAAGAGTTGATAAACTGGATGATTTCGTGAACGCAAGAACTCGGAACATTTCCCAGATCTACGTATGTATGTATTCAGGTCCGTTTACGCCGCCCCGAAGGCGTGTTGGTGCGGATGTCTTGGTTCGGTCTTCTGGGGTGCCAAAAAGAGAAAGGTTTCATAGCTCGCAGCCTGCTGCCTTGCTGCTCCCGAAGGAAGAGATTGATAGACGCGAGTCTAATGGACTCAGGGGCCAAGTGCTGAGGAACTCAGTGTGTATTACGCAGCTCGCTTTGGACCGTCACGCAGCGGAGGGTAACAGCTAGCCATATCGAAGTTTCGACATCGCAACCATTTCGTATTTTTATTCTGTGCCGGTACGTGTAGTTTTGATACTTCAGCGATGAAGTTAACTACAAAATAACGAGACTGGAAATGCTTGTGTTGAGACACGTGACACCAAGCCATGACCACATTGTCAGGCAAGTTCCGACCGGCAGCAGCAATGCTTTCCACCATACAGAACGCGCCCACACTTATGAACGTCTAGTTTCGACCGGGGCTGGTGGGGTGCTTAGTTCCTATCATGGGGTCATACTACGAGCAGTGGCAAAATATGTTTTAAAGTAGGGATTAGCTCAAAGGATGTGCTCAAGTTCTAAAATCTTGATTCGTTTTCGGCTGATATCGTAACTCCTGGGTTCTTCAGTGGTGGCGAATTCTGTAGGAAAAAGGGAAGAAAGCCGTCGCAGGGCTCTCCTTGGCATTTCGCGTAGTTTTGTTTTCCGAAAGAGTTTCATTTGTATACCTTCGTCACACGACTCTGTCAAATCTGAACCGTGGATTGTGGAGCTGGGGGAATCCTGTTCCCTGTTCAGAGCGGTCACTTCTCGGCCAACCGTTGCCGTTCGACGGCATTGGCCAAACCAGAATCTGTTTCGAGCAGCAAGCCAATGGTTACACCCACGAATCGCGATTCCGCAGCTGCGGAGTGCACTTGGAAGGTGAGGTTAATGCCTTGATGCTGTTTGTGCCAACGTTTTTGTTGCGTTTCCGTCGCAAAAGGATGTGCGAAACATTCCTGACCGCTGTTCAGTACGAACGCAGGTCGGAACAAAAAATACGACATTTTCCAGGCGGCCCTATAACACAAACAGTGGTGGTGGCAAAGGAGAAAGACCGAGAAGGAGGTTCAGACACCCAAACCCACTGACCACTTGAACTGTTGACCCCTCAAAGTGCCTACACACACTTGCGGTGTGCTCCTCATGACCAGATTTCGCCTTCTTACTATAAACCTCTCGGGGTTCCCATTCCCCTGGTTTCGGGATCGAGATCCATTCATCCCCGTACAAGGGTTCTCCGACGTGGTTCCTTCTGAGTTGCGCTCAGCCGGTGGCACCGTTCTTTCAATGCTTTTGTGGTCACTTGCAAAGTACCGTGCGGAAAGAGATCCTGACGCGACACACCCAATTAAACCAGCTACCATAGTTTGATTTCCAACGCCCCTGGCGCCTCCCGAACGGCCCGGTGGGAACATAAAACCCGGTGACTTTTTCAAAGCGTTAAACAGCACGTCTCGAGCTGGCATTCGGTATTCGGCAAATCCTCATGCCGTGAATCACGTTGTGGCCGAAACGCGTTCTCAAGGAGAGCCACTGACGTTTGCTGGCCTCTCAAGACATTGACAACCGCGACGCGACAAGGGGTACACCAGCGGCTGTTCTCCCATTTTGGCGACGTAGCCTCATGAATTTCTGGCGTGTCTGAGCTAAACGTTCAACGCCATCAACCAGGAGAATACGGCTGTCTCCTCGATTCCTCTCAACGTTTCTTCGATAGTCCGCGGGTAAGGGTTGGAGGGGGTTGAACCTGTTGCATTTTCCACATCAAGCCCTACATTCTTTCCAAGCAGTTTAAGGTGTGCTTTCCTCTGCGGTTCCGGCAGATTGGTTCTGAGGCCTGCTTGGTTCAGTCGCGCTGCGCCTTCTCCATCGCAGAAATATCACCTTGTGCTCGGGATTTTGAGGCTGGGCATACGCCTACACGTACGGAATCACAGATGCTGGATAAACATGCAAGAGCGCGACCAATCGACGTGTGGTCTGACTGAATGCCCGCTTGATAACTCCACTCACGGAAAGACGGCACACAATAAAAAACTTCGGGCGTCTAAACGACGGAGGTAGTACATGTGCCCATGTTTTCCAACAGGAAATCGCCAATCCGAGTACGTCAGAGCCCAAACACGGTTGAACAGTTAGATCAACACGCAGCCGTTGGACGCCGGACACCTGCGGCCTTCCAACGCCACCGATATGAAGCCCCTCCAAGAATGACCTCTTGCGCTTGCCCAAAGGCCCATGCAAGTTTCCTTTTCCTCGTTTTCTTCTCGGCTGTTTTTCTTAGCGAACAGGTCCGACGGCTGCTTGAAATCGAAATAACGCTCCCTTAGACAGATGTACCCGGGGACGACAAGCAGAGCAAAACGGCAAGCTGTTCTGACAGCGCATTTCCGTCCGACACCTAGGTAGGTGAGTGAAATCCATGCGTTGTCGGCGACAAGAATGAGTCAGACACCGCCAGCAAATGGTTCAGTGGGACGCAATCTCTCGTGGCGAGGTCTCTTGAATCTCTCCCGAACATCTAAACTAAACATCAACACGATATTCGGGCGGGGAAATGTTCGCCTCACGTCCGCATTTTGAGTGCCGATATATATATACCTATTTCTGGCCATGCAAACGCCACGGGAAATCGACACATTCAATGCTTGACGGGCGTAAGCGACATGCTCGGTTCTCTTGTCGTTGCAGGTTCTTCCTCACGCCTGCCGGGCTGAGTGACCGTTCGTGTTTTGCATCCAGAGGAGATACAACTGTGCTGGCGAGTTTGTGGCAAAGGGTACTGAATCACAAATGCGGATACACGAGCACGAGTGTGCGATGAATCGTCGTTTGCTTTGCCCGAACGCCCGCTCGACAATACCGCCCGCGAAGGAGGGTGGGCATGAACAGGCTTGGGGCATACAAACGACGGAGGTAGACTAGTACATGTACCAATACACGGACGGACTTACGTTGTCGACCGAAGACCTTTGCAAGTAGCAAACGATAGTCAGTCGCAGATGAAGCAAGTCTTCACCGCCGTACCAGTTGTGTAACCGTAACCCGTTGTGTTTCGGGGTCAAAGAAAGTCATGCAACTCGTTGCTGTCAACAAGTTCGGATAGTGCAATACGTAGTGCTTGTGGTTCCCACATTTTCCAGATCCGTGTGTTGGAGCAGTGCTCGCCCGAGGGCGCGCAAGTGATGGTTAATGCAAAATATGACAGAATGCCTTGACGGTTGAGTGTTAGAGATTGCATATCCGAGGGACGGTCAGAGCCCGGTCTGTCGCTCCAACGACGTGCACAAGCATAGAAGCTCAAGCCAGAGATGCAGGCATGTCGCCGATTTCTTACGAAAAATAGGAAATACAGCAAAGGGTCTTGAGTAAGCGCCGCGGGGGTGCGAGCGGTTTCGAAATCATTTTCTTCTTGATTCTATTGCACAAACCCGGTGAAACTTAAACGTGCGGTGCGGACTGGCGTCCCGCATGCGGGAAAAGAAATCACATTCCTTGCTCATGTTTCGGCGCATCACCCGTGCGACCTCGAGAAGCAACGTGCGGTAGCGACCAAGCATCAAGAAGCCGTTTGAAAGGGCTGCAGTAAAAGGGGAGAGACTGAGCTGAGGTTAAAGGAGCTCAGCAGTGCATCAGCTTGGGACTGGAATGTTTCTGCGGGGNACATCGAGGACGACGGCACCGGGCCTTGATGCCTGCTGGAAACCATGCTTGCGGTAATTACTTGTACTTTACTCGCTATAGCAGTATTTGAAATATTCCGTTGTGCCGAGTTATGGACCCCTCTCTCTCTTGCTAGTATTTATCGGCGCTATTCTCGTGATGCCCGGAGGAAGTACAACGTGCCCTTAGGGAGGGTGGGCACAAGTGATACTTCTGTATTCTGATTCTCGACGTAGTGCCTTACAAGCTGCGCTCAGCCCCATGGCACCGTTCTTTAAATGCTGTATGTGGTACCTTGCAAAGGATCGTGCATTATAGATCTGGGTGCGAAAAACGTAATTTAACCAGCTCCTCTTATTTTAGTTTCATTTTCAATGCCCTGGGCGCCTCCTCCACGTCCCGGTGTGAACAAATAACCTGGTGACTTCCTCAAAGCGCTGCACGGTTCGTGAAACAAAAGCCTCTTGGAATTACGCCTCCCCGCATGGTGTCCATCACGTGGAAGCAGAAGCGCATTCACAAGGAGAGCCACTGACGTTTGCAGACCTCTCAAGACGTCAACAATCGCGAAGTGACCAGAGGGGTACAATTAGCGGTTGCGCATCCATTTCGGCGACGTAGCGTAGTGAACTCTCTGCGTTTCTGAGCTCCACAATCAACGCGAGACAGGAGAACCATGTCTTTTCGAGTTCTCTCAACCGTTCTTCGACAGTCCGCGTCTACAGG